AAGGGGTCAAAAGGGGAGAGAAAATAAATACAATAACGGTCAGCAGAGAAAAGAGTGCCATAAAAATTAATGGGACTAAAGGCTGATACATCCTCTGGAGCTGATGGGATGCATCCTAGAATTAGGTTCTTTTGTCATGTGTACTCAAGTACAGGGATACAGGAGTACAGTGAAAATTTTACAATGTTGCCATTCACGGTGCCATCTTAGGTACAAGGTATAATATTAAATATTAAATAAAGTAGCTATAGAAATAATGGATGCACTAGCAGTAATCTTCCAACAATACTTAGGTTCTAAAAAAATTACTGGAAGATGTGGAAACTGTCAATGTAACACCTTAATTTAGCAAGGAGAGATAATGAAAACCAGGTAACCATAGGCAAGTTAGCTTAACATCTGCAACTGGGAAAATACTACAGTCTTCTACAGAAGCATTTAGAAATACATAATATGGTCAAGCTAAGTCGGCCTGGATTCATGAAGAGGAAATTGTGCATGACAAATTTACTGAAGGTTTAAAGTTTTGGCAAAGATCTATAGCTCGGGTTGTGGGTGAGGTTGTTGACTTGCTCACCGAGCTGGCTTGTTCTCGTTCAGACGTTTCGTCACCATGCTAGGTGACATCATCAGTGGAGCCTCCGATGAAGCGGTGTTGTTGTACTCCGCTTGAAATTTATACTGTCCAGTCCGATATGGTGAGCACTGTCACTTCCGGTTTTGATCTGTATGGGTTTGTATATGGGTTCCAATTCTATATGTTTGTTGATTGCATTATGAGTGGAGAACCGTGCCTCTAGGAATTCCCGTGCGTGTCTATGTTTGGCTTGGGCTACTATGATTACTTTGCCCCAGTTAAACTGATGGCTTTCATTGTCTGTGTGTACCGATATTAAGGAGAGTTCGTCGTGCCATTTTGCTGCTAGTTGATTTTCATGTATTCTGATGGCTAGTTTCCTTCCTGTCTGTCTGATGTAATGTTTGTGACAGTCGTTGCATGGTATTTTGTAAACCACATTGGTTTTTTATGTTGTGGGAATGGATCTTTAATCCTTGTAAGTGTTTGTCGTAGAGTTGCTGTGGGTCTGTGGGCTACCATGATTCCTAGTGGTCTTAGGAGTCTTGTTGTCATGTATACTCAAGTACAAGAATACAGGAGTACAGTGAAAAGTTTACAATGTTGCCATTCATGGTGCCATCTTAGGTACAAGGTATAATAAATATTAAATAAAGTAACTACAGAAATAATGGATGCACTAGCAGTAAACTTCCAACAATACTTAGGTTCTAAAAAATTTGATGTAGGGCAGTGTGGCCAGTGAGTTACGTTGTACTGTGTCCTCCTGTTGTCTGTTCAGTAGGCATCCGCAGATGAAATTGCGGGGATATCCGTTGATAGCGAGGATTTTGTATAGGTGCTCTTCCTCTTTGCTGCGTAGTTCTGGAATGTTGCAGTGTGTCCTGGCCCATTTGAATGATGTCCTAATGCAGCTTTGTTTGTGGACGTTGGGATGGTTGCTGTGGAAATTGAGGATTTGATCAGTGTGGGTTGCTTTTCTGTAAACTGATGTTTGGAACTCCCCGTTGGTCATACTTTAACATCCAGAAACGGAAGTTGATTGTTGTTTTCTTCTTCCCTTGTGAATTTAATCCCTACAAGTACGCTGTTGATGAGGTGGTGGGACTCTTCTAATTTGTTGCATTTAATAATGACAAATGTGTCATCTACATACCGGATCCACAGTTTAGATTAAATGCGGGGGAGGGTGGTCTGTTCTAGTCTTTGCATAATTGCTTCTGCAATGAGTCCTGAGATGGTTGACCCCATTGGTGTACCATTGATCTGTTTGTATACTTGACCATTAAAGACAAAGTGTGTGGTGAGGCAGAGGTCTAGTAGTTTAAGTATGTTGTCCTTGCTGATGGAGCTGCTGGTCTGCGTTGCTGCTTCCTCTAGCGTGGCTACTTTGGCTAGTGAGACGTTGATTGATGTGAGTAAAGCTGTGACGTCAAAGGATACCATAATCTCGTCGTTGCTGATTTTTATGTTCTTGAGGGTATTGAGGAAATCTTGGGTTGGAATGGGGTGATCCATCAACTAGGTGCTTCAATCTCCGTTGTTGGCCTTTGTCCAGTTTGTGTGAAGGTGTGCCTGGTAGGGAAACAATAGATCTGAGCTGGATGCCTGGTTTGTGTACTTTAGGAAACCCATAAAAGTGGGGAGTGTTCGTGCCTTCTGGTTTCATTCTCATGTAGTTCATCTTGGTTATCTGCCCTGCATCCTTTAGTCTCTTCAGTGTCTGGGTGATCCTCTTACCTAGCTGAGATGTTGGGTCTATCGCCACCTGTTGGTAAGTGGTTGTATCTGCAAGCAATGCTTGTGCTTTAACATAGTCTGAGATAGTGTGAACTGCAGATGCTGGACAATCCGAGACAACAAGGTGCAGAGCTGGATGAACACAGCAGGCCGAGCAGAAAGGCTGACGTTTTGGGCCTAGACCTGATGAAGGGTCTAGGCCCGAAACGTCAGCCTTTTTGCTCCTATGATGCTGCTTGGCCTGCTGTGTTCATCCAGCTCTGCACCTTGTTGTCTCTTTAACATAGTCTGGTTTGTTTGTAATGATGGTCATGTGCCCTTTGTCTGCTGGTAGGATTATAATGTTCTTGTCTTTCTTGAGTTTAACCAATTCATCTTCTGTGTTCAGGTTGTCCCCTTTGTTCTGTGTAGTGTGGGGATTATAGTTTGTTGGATGGCTTGTGTTTCGTCCGTGCATCTGTTGTCTTTTAATGTCATCTCCAGGGTGGCCATGAAGTCTGTTCTGATCGTGTCTTTGTGGTTATAGCTCGGTCTCTGAGAGTTGTCTGCTAGATAGGGTTTCTTATCCATGTGTCCGGTTTGTTGTTGTCCTGGTCTTTGTGGTGGATGAGTTTGGTGAGTTTCTCCTGTAGCTTGAGTCTATTCTTAGTTTTGGTTTTGTTTTGATTGGTGATGGCCTGTTCTAGGGTTGTAGTCCACTGCTGGTCTGTAGTGTTTAGGTACTGTGATTTTTGGTGCAACATTTCTCGTTGGTACCTGTGGAGTTGGTTATGAGCATCATTAGTTATTGCTCGTAGCATTCTGCGAGGGTTCTGTTCAGCTATTTTATATGCCTATGGGTTGTTGAGTGGAGGTTTGTATTTCACACTGGGTTCCTGAGGCATTCGTGGAGAAAATGAAGTTGTTCGCGGATAGAGCTCGGTCAGTTGGCGAAGGTTTCCTGTTGTCAGGCAATTTTCAGTATATTACGCCCCATGTGTTTAAAGTTTTGGCAAAGATCCGTAGCTCAGGTTGTGGGTGAGGTTGTAGACTTGCTCACCGAGCTGACTTGTTCTCATTTAGACGTTTCGTCACCATGCTAGGTGACATCATCAGTGGAGCCTCCAATGAAACTGTTATTCTACTCTGCTTGGAATTTATACTGTTTGGTCTGTTATGGTGAGTAGTGTAATTTCCAGTTTTGATCTGTATGATGTCACCTAGCACGGTGATGAAACATCTGAATGAGAACAAGCCAGCTCGGCGAGCAAGTCAACAACCTTTAACTGGAAGGTTTTGAGGAGGTAACAAGTAGAATAGGTCAGTTCACTCTACATCCTGATCTTGATGACTAACACTGCCCCTTAATTGTAAAATTCTCTTCATTGTCTTCAAATCCATCCGTGACATTGGTCTTTCTCATCACTCCCTATCCTCTGGCCCTACAACCCTCTCAGACCGCTCCTCTCTGATTCTGCCTCCCTTCATATCCCTGATGTTGAATTTTCTCTCTTCCCCACTTCCTTCCCAGACCCCCAAAACTATCTGTGAAATCCTGCTAAGTTGTTGATGAGTGCATTCTTCCTTTTTCTCAGTGTTACCTCAAGTAGTTTGACGCAAATGAACATCTGCTATCTATCATTCTTTTACCTTTCCATGTCCTTTTTTAAACAGTTGGCGTTTTGTCTAACCTTTGTTATGTACACTAATGTATTATCAGCCAACTTTCAACATTATTCATCTTGTACAGTATCCAAGGTCCTCCCATTAGTGGAACAAGGTGTACCAGAACAGAACTTAGACACTCTACTTTCTTCCCCTTAGTTATCTCCCTGTCCACACACTATATTCCCTTTAATAGGCTGTTGGTTATGTTGAGGTGATTTTTGAATCTGACTGCTCAATATTTTTAACGTAAGTATATTCGAGTTAAAATTCATTAATGATCTACTGTTCAGTAAAATTCTTAATGTGGAGATTCCACAAAAGTTTCAATATGATCCATTTTAAGTATGATCCAGTGCTACATCTATAACAGCCTGTTCAGCAATATTTGAATTGGAGATGGGTATGACCAGACCAGCATGTGCTTATAATATATATTGTTTGGGATACGCTCGTTGCTGATATTTCATGGTCTTGAATTAGTTTTGTCTTCAAGCAGACCAGAGATTTTGGGAAGGTTTTATTTCCCATGTGCATTCCCTAGCTCATGGCACACCTGGAATGTGTTCTTGTGGTAAGTTACTAGGGTGTCAAAACAGTGCTGTTAGTTGCCCCTGGGCATTTTCAGACTCCTTTTCCAAGCCTTTTGCTATAGGACATCTTACAAAGATCAGTCAGAAAGCACAACCTCTGTGGAATTCTGTTCTACATTGCTAACACTTGTCTGTCTATTGCATGGTTGACATGGCCTTTGCTGGATGTATTGCAAGTTTCCCTGAGAGGGTATCTCCTATGTAAGATCCTCTGACACATCCTATAAATGGAGGCAGTCAGGCAATGGCCTTTTAAAAGCTCCCATTTGAAGTTTAGACATTCTTGATGCCTTTTTGAAGTAATAAAAATCATTGTACAGAAGTACAATGTGTTTGTTTTTCTGGACAAAGAGACTATATAGCTATTACTGCGGAGATGTATACAACAGTCTCACTATTGGGCTTTGAGCCAGGGTGCTTAACCTGATTTCCTTGTTGTTCCACAGAGACTCAGAACTGAAAATCGCCTCCTAAAGCAGCGGATTGAAACCCTCGAGAAGGTATGATATGTTTCTGCTATGGTTTGTAGGCCACTCTTTTGGATAGTTTGACTTTAATAGTCCTTGAGCTGCCCAATGCTGCCAGCAGCCTTCTATTCACATGTAGAAAGAGCAATGAAGTTAATGTTCAAGATCAACCTTTCATCAGATGGAAGATTGTCAGTCTCCAAAAATAATTGTCTTTCTCTCTCAGATGCAGCCTGACCTGAGTACTTCCAGCATTTCCTGTTTTTATTTCAGGTTTCCACTTGTATTTTATTTCTGCTCTGCTCACTGCAGAAAGCATTACAAAATCTGAGATTGTGTGTGTCTGAGCACTGGATGGTGGAGCATGATGTGGCAATTTTATTCTTTGCAAGATTAGTAGTTAGTGTTTCTGAGTCATTGAGATATTCTTAATTCACCCTTTTCACTAGGCTCTGCAGGAGCTCATTCTTCCTTGTAAGTTTGAATTTTGAGCAAGAGCATCATATTTGTGGAATATGGAACAAACACTTAATTTGGAACATGATTTATGTAAACTTCAGTTAAACAGAGTAAGCTAAACTTTTAGTCTTCAGTTTCTTCTTTGAATGCCTCACCATTGTGCAGTTGTAAAACCTCGTGTGTGAAGGGTACTGAAGGGCAAGGATGGGCAAATACACCTTGAAGCTCATGTACATCATTCTCGGAAGGTGTGACTGTAGCTGAATAAAATCAAGAGCCAATAGAAGTGTAACTCTAAAAATAGGAACGGAATACGAGAATTTAATGAAAAAATAAATTTAGGGAAAATATTGGTTTCACTACAGTTAACACACTGAGTACAGTTCTGGGCCCCTCTATGTAAGGGATAATGAAAGTTATAGAGGGCATTCAGCACCGTCTTACCAGAATAATGTGGGGATGAGAAATTGTTGTGATGAGAAGTTGTTGTGATGAAGAAACACTCGGTATGGTTTTTTTCTGTGGAGCAGAGAAGATTTAATGGAGGTTTTATAAATTTGGTAGACAATTAAGAGAACTTTTTAATACTTGTCTGTGAGAAAATGTCATCAATTTAAAATTTAGGACAATGGCTGGGAAATAGCTTCTTTATACAGGGTGTGTATTGAATGCTTTGGCACCAAGTGGTTAAAATGGAGACTATTGCACCTTTGGAGGGGAAATTGAGCTAACCCAGACATGATGTGCTGAATGGCCCTCTGTGTTGTTGAATGAACTGACTTTATTTATCAACTCTATGATGATGTAGGTCTTAGTATAGAATTTTATTTTATTTGAACCTATTTTTCTAATTAACCTAATAACAGATGTTATTACATATTTCTAGAGCAGGTGAGACTTGAATCCGGGGCTTTCTAGTCCAAGGGAAGGGACACTACCACTGCTCCAAAGGAGGGCCAGGGTCTGGTCATAGACCACAAACACAAGAACTAGGAGCAGGTGTAGACTATTTAGCCCGTTGAGCCTGCTCTACCATTTGCTCCAGTCATGGCTGATTTTGAGTTTCAATTTCACTTTTCTGCCTGATCCGTGTTTTGCTTGATTTCCTGAGAGACCAACAATCTGTCTTGTTGCCAGTTTAAATATAATCAGTGATGGAGCACCCACAAGTCTGTGGGGTAGAGAATTGAAAAGATTCACAAGACTTTGTGAGAACAAAATTCACCTAATTTCAGGCTTACTGATCAAATCCTTTATACTGAGACTGCCCATGTTCTTGATTTTCCCCAGTAAGGAGACACAACCTTTCCATAATATTGAGTATTTCAATGTGATCTCTTGTCTATCTTATAAACTGCAAAGAATATAAACCCAATTTACTCAACCTGTACTCATAGGATAACCCCTTCATCCCATGCACCAATCTCATGAACTTTCAGCTGCACCTGTCCCAATACAAGTGTATCCTTCCTTCAATGCAGAGAGCAAAATCGCGCACACTATTGAGGATTTCTTTTCAAAGTGTGAGTTTCTTTCTTAATGACCAAAGTGAATAACATCAGAATTCCCCACGTTATACTCCATCTGTTATCTCATTGCCATTCACTGAATGTTTTGGTCCGTATATCTTTTGCAGCCCTTTTTGTGTACTCTTCACAACTAGGTACATTCCCAACGAGTTTTCTGTTGTCAGCAGACTTGACTAAATTAGTATTTGTCTCTCCGTCCAAATTATTAATGTAGATTGTGAATAGCTGAGGCTGCAGCACTGATCCTTACACCGCTCCAAAAATTGCAGCCAGCCTACTTGAAAATGCCCTATTTATCTCTACTGTCAGCTTCCTGGAAATTAACCAATCCTCCATCCATGTTAATACATCACCTGCAACAGATGAGCCTTTATCTTATGTATTAGCCCTTTGTGTTGTACCTTTTCGAAGTCTTTTTGAAAATCGAGTATTCTCCATCACAAAGAAAAAAAATGAGCTCTGTGTGGAGAGAGAAACAGAGTTCATGTTTCAAAAATCCAGTATGACGACTCTTCAGATCCCTCCAGCATCCTCTATCCCCTGGTTTCTCTTTAACAATTAGGGTAGATAGATCCTCAAAGAAGTCTATGATTAATTTGTTATTTCATGTGACCACAGAAAATTTGGAGGGGTAAAACCATTAGAGAGCAGAGGAGTTGGGGTTTGGGGGGTTGCGATGGTAAACAGAACTTCTGACAAACGGTCACTGGATTCTGTCAGACCTGCTGTGTTTCTCCAACACGGTTTTTGTTACATTCATTCCAGCTTGGCATTTTTTAATCAAAGTTGGATAACCCTTTGGCTTCTAAAACTCTCCCAATCCTTAGACTTATTACTATTCTTTGCAACCTTTACAAGCCTCTTCTTTCAATCTAATGTCAGCCTTGACCATCTCAGTAAATCACTGTTGGATCTTCCTTGCTGAGATTTTGCTTTTCAGTGGAATGTATTTTTGTTGAAGTTATTTCTTTAAATGTTTCCCACTGTTCATTTGCTATTATACGTTTTAGTCTATTTTCCAATCAACCCAAGTCAACTCTTCCTTATACCTTTGACTTTGTGATTTAAGATTTTTTTCAGAATTAAAGTATATTGCTCTCACAGTTGAGTTCTATTTATTTAATACTGCTATTTCTTGGGGAGGCCCAGCACTACCTGACATTACTACTTAGTCCTACCTCATTGGACAATACTAGATCTGAAATAGCTTTACCTGAAATAGTTTTACAATATAGCACTCCAAGGAATGCTGGGCTACCTTTGCCAATTTGATTGGCAGGTCTATGTGAAGGTTCAAAGGCACCCCAAAACACAATTATGCTGTCTTTCTTGCAGCTATAATAACTTTTTGTTTAATCCTCTGTCTAGTAGTACATCTGCTATTAGGGTCCTACAAACTTAATCCTGCCACGACTTTTTGACCCATTCTGTGATCCTGGTTGATCCTATTATCACTTTGTCTGTATCTTGAGGGTGACCATTGACCAGAAATTGAAGTGGACCAGCATATAAATGTCATGGCTACAAGAGCAGTCAGAGGCCAAGAATTCTGCATTGAGTAACTTGCCTCCTGTTCCCAATGCTTGACCACCATCTACTAAGGCCAAGTCATGTTTAGGGGAGATGATAGTGTAATAGCAATGTCACTAGATTAGTAACCAAAAACTCAACAGAATGTTCTGAGGAGGTGGGCTAGGCTTTTAACAGTGATCCTTAGTTCTAGATTCTCCCATGAGAGAAAATATCTTCTCCACATGTAATCTGTCAAGATCCCTCAGGATCATTATATTTCAATCAAGCTGCTGATTACTCTTCTGAACTCCAGTGGATGCAAGTGTAGCTTGTCCAACCTTTCTGGGACCAGGCTAATTTAGGATATCTGGTCAGCAAGGTCAGAATCTCTTTGATTCTGTTAGACATCCTCTTACTCCAGGTATTAGTTTAGTAAAGATGACCTTTAAAGAATTATTACATGATTTATAACATTTATACATTTCTTCAAGGTGCAATAACTCAAAATAAGGTCTATCAACTGTGGCTAACTAACAAAGTTCAGGATTAAAGAAATGGCCTATAAAATTGTCAAAAGTAGCAGTAATTCAGAGGATTAGGATTTACAGTAACACATAGGTGGATCAAGAAATTGATGAGGGAGAATGGAATCGAATGTAACCTAGCCAAAAATATTTTTTAAAATACTTCAAGTGCTTTTATAGGTACATAGAAAGTAAATATTTGGCTAAATGCATGTTGCTCCTTTACGGATAGTCTGGAGAATTTACAATGGGGAATAGGGAAACCAAATTATTACCTACTTTGTGTTTGCTTTCACTAGGAAGATGCAAGAAACCCTTCCCCCCCCCCCCCCCCCCCCCCCAGGACCTAGAATCCAAGTGGCTCAGGAGAATGAGGTGTTAAGGAAATTAATTTTTCCAGTACAATCATCTTACTGAAATTAATAGAGCTGAAAGTTGATAAATCCCCAGGACCTGATAATCTGCATCCCAGACTGTTGAAGGCAGTAGCTATAGAGACAGTCAATACATTGGTAATTATCTTAGAAAATTATAGAAATTTTGGAATGATTCCTGTGGATTGGAAGGTAGCAAATATTTTCCCACGATTTAAGAAGGAAATGATTCAAAACCAGGAACTATCACTTGTTAAACTTAACAGTAGCTGAGAAAATTATCGAATCGGTTATAATGGATGGGATAGTGGACAGTATGGTGGCTCAGTGGTTAGCACTGCTGTCTCACAGCACCAGGGACCAGGTTCAGTTCCGAGCCTTGGGTGACTGGCTATGTTGACTTTGCAGACACAGGGAGAATGTGCAAAGGTTTCCACCGGGTGCTGCAGTTTCCTCCCACTGTATGAAAATGTGCAGGTTAGGTGGATTGGCAATGCTAAATTGCTCCATAGTGTCCAGGGATGTGCCAACTAGGTTGGTTAGCCATAGTAAATGTGGAGTTACAGGGATAGGGTGGGGACTGGGTCTGGTGGGATGCCCTTCGGAGGGTTGGTACTGACTCAGTAGGTGGTTCC